CCCAAAAAACGGGCGGGGCCATTTGAAGCACGACTTTAGCCTGATTTGACATTTAGTGGCTGTCAGATCAGACGTGAACACTGATAACTGCTGTTGCCGTGATATAATTTTTTATAAATTTATAAAAAAAAAATATATATATATATATATATATTTTTTTTAAATAATTGATTAGAAAAAAAATCCCTTCCTTTTCCCGTTTGGCAGTGCGTCGCCCATATCGCCCTATTGAACAAGCCGTCCCTGCTCCCCTTCACATCTATATGGGAATCACCACCATCGTGGAAAATAAAATTGGAGGCGCTGCTGATAAAAATAGATAAAGACAGAGGAGGAATGGAACGGCGCTTCTCTATAGCTCATTTACCAGCAAACTGCTTAATGAGGCACTTGGCATTTCCGGGTCAGGCAGAGGGGTCAGTGTGACTATAGTTTATATCCTTAGTGACCGGTAAATAGGATTAGGGGAATATCGGTGTGTGTGTCTCTGTGTGTGTGTGTCTGTGTGTGTGTGTGTGTGTGTGTGTGTGTGCATGTGTGCTTTGCAGACACCAGGGGGTGATTTACACAGGCTGTTGACTCTGTCACAGTGGAATGAGACTTCTTTATGGGAGGTAATCTGGCTGTTGAGTGGACATTAAACCACAGGGGCAGAATAACAGGAAACTGGGCCTTGACCAGAGCAGAAGAAGAGGGATGATGAGAAAAGAGAGGGAGGATCTCTCACTGCACAGTGGGGAAAGAAAGAAAGAGTTCATTAACGAAAAGATGAGAGGCTGGAAAGAAAGAGCTGTTTGTGTGGTGGGCATTGGCTTGACTTTCCTCTTACCCCTTCTCTCTCCTCTCTCCTTTCCCTCCCTCCATCCCTCCCCCTCGTGGTGACGACAATGTCCTCTGCCTGGGCTCTCCGTCATCATCAGGCCAGCCGTCTAAACAGGGCATTTCCTGTTGCCCTCACGAAAGTTGTTGTTTCCTGTTCACCCCCCCCGTCCGTCCGTCCGTCCGTCCGTCCATCCTTCCATGGCGCTCATCAACTATCAACCCCTCCCCCAAATGCTTTGCACCTTGTAGCTACAGTAGATAGGGAAAATCCTGGGTCTGCAGACGTGGGCCCGTATTCAAGAGTCTCGGTGTGTGAGTGCTGATATAGGATTCGTTTTGCCAATTAGATCATAATGAATAAGGTTATATGGACAGGGGTGACCTGATCTTAGATCAGCACTGCTACTCTGTTATGCTTTGTGAATAGGAACGGACCCTGGAACTGAGAAGCTATGATTGTCTCTTAGGTGTTCATAACAGTTTTAATCTTTTGTAATAGGTTCTCAGATTAAGCTATTATACGGGTCTAAATCAGAGAATGTAATTCTGTCAATGTGAATAGTATCAGACAAATTATAACTGATCCCTCTATAAAATGGGGAGGTATTGGATTCATCTTTACTGCCGACTCATACCAAATTTGATTTTTCAATGAGAGGAATTTAAGCACCTAACGAGCTGAAAATTCTCATCAGTTTTCTCAAAGAGGATTGTCCTCTGCGCAGTGGTATGAAGTACTTAAGTACAAACACTTTTTAAAGTACTACTTTTGGGGTATCTGTACTTTACTTTTTATATTTCTGACTCCTTTACTTTTACTCCACTGCATTCCTAAAGAAAATAATGTACTTTTTACACTATACTGTACGTTTTCCCTGACACCCAAAAGTACATTTCGAATGCTTAGCAGGACAGGAAATGTTTCAATTAACACACTTATCAAGAGAACATCCCTGGTCATCCCTACTGCCTCTGATCTGGAGGACTCACTAAACACAAATGCTTCATTTGTAAATGATGTCTGAGTGTTGGAGTGTGCCCCTGGCTATCCGTGAATAAATAAACAAGAAAATCGTGACGTCTGGTTTGCTTAATATAAGGAATGTGAACAAATACTTTTAGACTTTTACTCAAGTAGTATTTTACTGGGTGACTTTCACCTTTAAATGAGTCATTTTTTATTAAGGTATCTTTGCTTTTACTCAAGTATGACAATTAGGTACTTTTTCCACCACTGCCTCTGCGCTCAATAATATCAGCCCTTTCCATAATGGGTGTCAGTGGTAATATTGTATTCCATTTAGGTGTGTGTCTACTGATTGGGATTCAGACACTCAGACCAGGGTTGTCTCTGTATCAGTCCTATGATACTATCTGAGTCACATCCTACAGGGTCAGGAGACAGACAGTCTGAGGTGGGGGGCATCAGGGCCCCAATCAGATCTCCCATCTCTCACTAGGCTGGGCGGGACTTGGTCCTAGTGCTGACTGTTGATTGGGTAGGACGCGACACCTGACCCTGCTCTTCCTGAGGAAGGAGGCAGTTTACTGGTGGGCAATATTTATTGAGCACCAACAGGATACTCCCCCAGGGCACAAAGTAAAAGGAATAAAAAAAGCAAATACATTATTTCAACGGTTCCCTCTGAGGTCTCCACACAATGCCATTCGCTCCGACTCCCTCCGTACTATTATCACACACACACACCCACACCCACCCACCCGACACACACACCCACACACACCCTCACCCACCCACCCACCCGACACACACACCCACACCCACCCAACCACCCGACACACACACCCACACACACCCACACACACCCACCCGACTCACACACCCACACACCCCCCCCCCCCCACACACACACACACCCACCCGACACACACACCCACACACACCCACACACACACCCACCCACCCGACACACACCCCACACCCACCCACACCCACACCCACCCACCTGACACCCCCCCCCTCACACACACACACACACACACACACACACACACACACACACACACACACACACACACACACACACACACACACACACACACACACAACCCAATACCCCTTCCAACACACACACACTCTCACACCTCTCCAACCCTAACCAGACACTCATATTCATCTTCAGCCCTGACACACACAACCTCACACAGCCTCACATGCAATAAATCAGCTGCCCTTGTGTCTATGTGACAGAGAGCAGAGGTTGGGGAGGAAACTCCCTGCGGTACGTGGTGCAGTCTGGCAGTGAGGGATAGTAGGGAGGAGAGGAGTGGACTTGATTTAATGTTGCCCATGTGGCCGTGAGGTCCCAGATAAACTTGACCTATCAGCCGTGCCGATCAGACCGGTAGCCCCTCCCACCTATTTAGCATCCATACTTCTTACTTTATCTCCTGATTAGAAAACACGGCACCACTGCTTCCAGATGACCCGCCATGCAACCCTCCTCCACTCCTATAGACAGTCACTGAAGCAGGAGTGATGGAGTGCATGTAGAGGAATCAGAGATGAATATAACAGGAAAGCAACATCCTCCATAGGCTAGTCTAGGCTGTAGCCAAGAGGGTGATTTAATAGGGTCTACCGAGCTCTTTGTATGTTGCCTAACATGTGTATGAATATATCTTACTAATGATATCATGTGTTTTAATGTATATATGGTTGATGCATAAAACATTTCATATTTATATGGTCATAATAGCTCTACCAGCTCTCCTTGGTTTTCTCTCTTTATTGTACCTATGTTCTTGTACCTAATGCATTTCACATTGGGAGTTATTTTTAAATAGGGTTGCAAAGCTACAAGTAATTTGCCATATTGTTCATACGTTTCTAGTAGATAGACCATTTTGTTCAAGACAAAATAGCTTAATTAATGAAAAAAGCATTTAATCAACAATGGAGTTAATTTCAATTAACTCTGCAACTCGTCCAACTATTGACTTTTTTTTACAACTGCCACCAGTTTAACACCAAATACATACTGACGTAGTAAAGCAAGGCAACAGTAAACATGTCGTTCCCCACGAATGATGCAGCGCCCCCCTTTGGCCAATCATTGTAATTTTGTAAATGACGGATCTCTATGGCAAGACGCACCACTCACCCAAGTTTCGTCAAAATTGGGCCAGTGGTGTCTGAGATATCGCGTGTGACTAACGTACTCAAAGTTGATTACTATACGCCCCCATTGGGCCAATCAGTGTATTATTTTGTAAATGCCAGATCTCTATGGCAAGACGCATCATTCATCCATGTTGAATCAAAATCGGGCCAGTATGCCAAATTTCATCACTCTGAGTCAAATAGATCAAGAGATATAAACATGTGGCCATTATGGCCCCGTGTAGCTCAGTTGGTAGAGCATGGTGTTTGCAATGCCAGGGTTGTGGGTTTGATTCTTACGGGGGGCCAGTATGAAAAAATGTATGCACTCACTAACTGTAAGTCGCTCTGGATAAGAGCGTCTGCTAAATGACTAAAATGTCAAATGTAATAGCGCCACTGTGGGTCATTATGAATGTTCTTATGTTAAGTCTTGACAGTGTTTGCAACATGTGTACCATATTTTGTTACAATACGAATATCTTTGACTGATTTATATGCATTTATGTGCGTGAAAGTTTATTGGTAAATAGCGGCCATTTTGTTTTAGGTACTACACTGGAAAATATTATTTGAGAGACCTTCGTCCATAGATGCCACATATCAAGTTTCGTGCCGACTGTTGCCAGAAGAGTAGCGTTTTAAGTGTTTTTCACAAAATAAATGTAAAATGGTGGAAAATCCATCATGGCGGACCTTATGGGTCCGTAAGGCACATTTGTTCCTTCTGAGGAGAGGGAACTATGTACCGAATTTCATTACTTTAGGTCAAACGGGGTGAGGGGCGTGACCTTTCAAAGTTTGCATTTTCAATCTCTTGTTATAGCACCACCGTCTGGCAAATCTGTGTAATTTTGTTCTTAGAAAGTTTCCAGTAATATACCCTCCTTTTGAAACCCTATTCGTAAGTGTAGGCCTGTTTTGCAAGTTTAAACATGGCATTCAACCCTCTAGCCACTTGCCAGGCCATCATTGGCGACCATTGTAAATAAGAATTTGTTCTTAACAGACGTGGCTGGTTAAATAAAGGTTAAATAAAAGTGTATGGTCCTAGAACGTGTGACCTCTCTACTTTGCTTAACCAGGTTTTGCCCTTGTCTCTCCCCCAGCATCCCAGCAGACATGTGAGCCAGTGGAGGTCCCTGACAACCAGAATGCCTGGATCAGGGTGAGGGAGATGCCTACAGGCTGCTGGACCAGCTACACCACTAAGGACAGTAAAGAGGTGCACATCCTCAGCCTGCACTACCTTCCTGGGGTAAGGCAATCTACATACTGTTTGTCTGTCCTGAATTACTGTGGAAGCACTCCACTAGAATTAGAAGCATACAGTACGCTGAATATTCCAGTACATTGAATACACAGGTTATAATGTGCAGTACAGTGATATGTGAGGTAATACGATTTTATTGTAGCAATATGTTGTCAAATAACACCCTACATTGGACAGAATTAACTTTTCATAATGTTCTGAATTGTTAGATTACATTCAGTTTGTATATCCCACATCGTATCAGGAGTCCATATAGTGACTAGCTAGCTCCATATAGCTGGAACGTTTGGCCCGTTCCTCAGGGAAAACGTTGTTCTGGGAGAGTGTCTGCGTAAGATTGATACCAGATGAGCGTTAGCACACTAGGCTAGCTTACACATGAGATTGATACCAGATGAGCGTTGGCATACTAAACTAGCTTACAAATGAGATTGATGCCAGATAAATTAGCTAGCTTTCCCATATGGCTGAGCGTCAACATGAGGGACACCTCCTCTGCTCAGCCTGATAAGTACAAACACATGCCAGACATAACATGGAGCCGGGGTCTCCCCTGAGGTGACTGGGGTGTGAAAACACACCCTCATCCAACAGCCTGCATGGGGAATGGGGCTATGTGTGCTGAATACAGGTTGATTTAAAATTTGTACCCCAAATTGTATAACTATATTTAATTCAAATTATAGCCATTTGGGAGTTAAATTACGTAACTGAGCCAAGATCGGTGCTTAGGAGGAATGTAATCCTACACTGCTATTTCACCCCAGACTTAATTTTTCATTCTTTGACAGTGTCTGGTCAGCACGTATTCGTAATTTCTTATCAGTGCTCTCTCCCTATAACACACACACAAACACTTTCTCTCTCATCTCATTGACTGTGTGTCCCTCTTGAGATGCTGTAGCCAGTACACTTCCTCAAAATAGTTTTAATTACTCTAAGATAACTCAAGAAATCTGTAATTAATTTTGACGTTTTTGCCGAGGTCTTAGTTGCGCAATTTTACATCTAACTAAGATGTTTGGTGCAGTATTTCTGAAGTGAAATAATGTGCATGAAAACTAGTAATCTGTCGTTGAATGACAACTTAATTGAAGAATCCCTACTGTTGACCAATCACCGATGAAGGAGCATAGACATCGGCTACCGAACTTCGACAAGCATCAAGAGAATATGTTGTGTGCTCGAACAGCTGGAAAAAACCTGCTGAATGCTGTCGAACACCAAAACGAAAAAAATATATAAAGAAATGTCATAATATACACAAAATTAGGAACACCTGCTCTTTTAGACTGACCAGGTGAATTCAGCTGAAAGCTATGATCCCTTATTGATGTCACCTGTTAAATCCACTTCAATCAGTATAAATGAAGGGAAGGAGACAGGTTAAAGAAGTATTTTTAAGCCTTGAGACAATTGAGACAGGATTGTGAATGTGTGCCATTCAGTGGGTGAATTGGCAAGATAAAATATTTAAGTGCCTTTGAACGGGGTATGGTAGTAGCTGCCAGGCACAACGGTTTGAGTGTGGCAAGAACTGCATCGCTGCTGGGTTTTTCACGCTCAACAGTTTCCCAAAGCACATCCAGCCAACTTCACACAACTGTGGGAAGCATTGGAGTCGACATGGGCCAGCATCCCTGTGGAACGCTTTCAACACTTTGTAGAGTCCATGCCCCGACGAATTGAGACTGTTTTAAGGGCAAAAGGGGGTGCAACTCAATGTTAGGAAGGTATTCCTAATGTTTTGTACACTCAGCCTATGCGTGAATTGTTTCGACTGGGCAGCATACGGAAGCTTTAGACTACACTCTGTGCTGTGTGTGCGCGCATGTGTGTGTGGGGTGGCGGCTAACCTTCCTGATAGCTACTCTAGCAAAGGTGAGATTGCAAGTGTTCATTTGGCCCATTTATTAGCAGCAAAGATTTTCATACAGGCAGATGTCATTGCAGTAGGTTCCATAGTTCATAGTGAACATGCAAAAAATACAGGCCTATTAACATCAAACAAAAACAGAATGAGCATCTGTAGTTTTCACACAACCAATAAACTGTGTGCAGAACTACCAGTGGATGGAGAATAGAGTTATTTGTCCCCCCCCTTCTGTCTCTCTCTCTCTCTCTCTCTCTCTCGCTCTCTCTCTCTCCCCCCCTCTCTGTTTGCAGAGTATTTCAGTGCTCACCTGCATGCACTCCACACAGACAGAAAAACAAATCACTCCTTCCTAAACAAGAGTTCACATGACCTTCCCCCCTCCCCCGCTCCCCCTCCCCCCTGCCAGGATTCAACTCTGACCATTCCTCAATGTCCACTAGGCACTGTAAACAAATATGATGGAATATTAGGCCCCCTAAAGAGGGGAGGTGGTGACAAAGGTGTTTGTGGAAGGGTGGGGTCATATAGGAAGTGTGGCTGCCAGGCGGTCTGTGTATGGGTTCAGCCTTGGAGGGGGGGTGGAGGGACAGAGGACGAAGGGAAGAGGGGGGTGGAAGGCAGGAGGGAGGGCGCTTGTCAAGACCCCATTGATGTCACATTCAGGCACGGGTGTGAGGGCCTTGGCTCACAGCCGAGACTGGACCGTCGGAGGGAGGACAGTTCTTTATTCAAGGACATTGAGTTTTGGTTTAAAGTGAAATTACTGTTTCCCAGCTGATTTGCAAGAGTAAATCCTATCGACTCATATATTAGTCAAAGACACATCCTTGACTCTATTGACTCAAACTGAGTCAATAGTGAATTATTTGCCCGTACCAGACTGGTAAACTGTCAGATAACAGGAACATTTGTCACACATTTACTGTATACTGTGTGCTTTTCAAGAACTCACTCATCAATTAACAATAGAATTCCTAGCAATAGGATTCTCAACCACAACCTATTTCCAACCAGGATAACAACACACCTAGGACCCTACTATGTTTAATCGAACGGGAAGTGTACAGTCTAGTTGTCAGCAAAGTACATAGTCTTCTAAGCAATGGCCACTTCACTTGTTGAGGCAACTAGAGGTACATTTATATCACGAACCCCAAGAAGAAAGAAGACATGTATCTTTCAGCTGACTGATTATTGAGTAATTCTTCAGTGTATTCTTCAGGGAGTTTCGATGATAAACATATTCTGACATTACTAAAAAGACTAGTCAAGCAGTGTGCTTTAATGCTCTGTGACGAAATACAGTGGCGAGGGCAACTGATCATTTAATCAGTTAGACAAGTTACCAGCAGCTCTGTCTGACTCATTGTCCCTGCTATTATCACACACACAGCAGCTAGGTCACCCGTGATACAAGTCAGTATTCGACGTCCATCCATGTCCGAGGACGTTGGGAGACGACGTGGAAACAGGCCACTAGGGGCAACAGTGAGCGCTGTTACCTTCAAGTAGGTTTTGATTTTGCTAGGGTACTGTGGACAAGGATGGTGGGTAGTCATAAGCATCTGCCTCAGGTGCCAAAGGTTGCATGTTCAAATCCAGCAATAGAAAGTAGATTTTTGTTTTAAGCCTATCCCAAACCTTAACCCTTACCTTAACCATCAGAGTCCACCCAAAAACAAATTTTTGGGATTTGTTTCATTAGTCCATTGTTGACATAGTCCCAAAATGTTTTGCTTGTCAGCAATCAAGTTTTCAAGATATGTAACTTTCAAAAGACAAAAATCAGCCCATTTTGGGACTATGTCAACAATGGAGTAATGAAACAAATACCAAAATAATGTTTTTGGGTGGAGTTTTCCTTTAACCCTAACCTTAAAAATCCAGAAATAATGCCTAAACTTAACCTTAAACACTTTGAAAGCATCTGCCTCTGATGTCAAAGGTTGCATGCTCATATCCAGCAATAGAAAGTTGTTTTTGAGAGTTTTGTTTTGAGCCTATCGCAAACCTGCCTGGCGTTTGGCCTGTTGACAGCAGCTATTGTGGTGTGTTGTCTGTCTGTTTATGTGTGTGTGTTGAACATGGCCCTTGCAGAGGCCTTGTGTATTAGCCCTGTGGTAGGCCTCAGACAATACACTGGTGCTCTCCTCCGACCAGCTCCAAACATCAGGGGTCCGATTATTTCATGTCGGCCCCTCGCCTCAGCCCAGCGTGGCCCTGTCAGAACTCATGCTGTCAGCAGCACGCAGCAGACGATCAATTTAATAAGAGCGAGTAGATACGAACAAAAAGACACTGTGTTCCTAAGCACACTCATCCACACAAAGAAACAAAGCCAGCAGCCAAGAAAATCCAGCTCCAAAACAAGCAAGAGATTAGAGATTATTTTTTCGTTTTCAGATGCGCTACGTCGGGATAAAATATGAATAGTTAATTCCCCAAAAGCACCTCTTCAGAACTGTGTTTTAGAGGTATTTAAGTACTTTCCTCTACTTCAATATTCTAACAACACAATGGGATTCACAACTGCAAATCTTTCACCTTCCTTTCCTCCCTACTGATACCCAAAGGAAGTAAATGCCAATAAATGTATGGTAATTCATTGGGAAGTTCAAAGAGAATATATAAATGTCCTGTCTCCCTCATCTCTATCTTTGTAAACGTCACTAGCTTATAACGCATTCTTGACTGTGGTCAATAATTACAAGAACATATTTGACTTAACCGGAAGCTGAAGGCCAACACTGTTCACCTGTTGTTCACTGTGGTATGAACTCTGAACTACACTCAATAAAAATATACACACAACATGCAACAATTTCAAAGGTTTTACTGAGTTACAGTTCATATAAGAAAATCAGTCAATTGAAATAAATTCATTAGGCCCTAATCTATGGATTTCACATGACTGGGAATACAGATATGCATCTGCTGGTCACAGATACCTGAAAAAAAAGGTAGGGGTGTGGATCAGAAAAACAGTCAGTATCTGGTGTGATCACCATTTGCCTCATGCAGCGCGACACATCTCCTTCGCATAGAGTTGATCAGGCGGTTGATTGTGGCCTGTGGAATGTTGTCCCACTCCTCTTCAATGGCTGTGCAAAGTTGCTGCTCAATGGGTGATGTCTGGTGAGTATGCAGAACATGGAAGAACTGGGACATTTTCAGCTTCCAGGAATTGTGTACAGATCCTTGCGACATGGGGCCGTGCATTATCATGATGAAACATGAGGTGATGGCGGCGGATGAATGGCACGACAATGGGCCTCAGGATCTCGTCACGGTATCTCTGTTCATTCAAATTGCCATAGATAAAATGCAGTTGTCCGTAGCTTATGCCTGCCCATACCATAACCCCACCGCCACCATGGGGCACTCTGTTCACAATGTTGACATCAGCAAACCGCTCGCCCACACGATGCCATCTGCCTGGTACAGTTGGAACCGGGATTCATCCGTGAAGAGCACAGTTCTCCAGCATGCCAGTGGCCATCGAAGGTGAGCTTTTGCCCACTGAAGTCGGTTACGCTGCTGAACTGCTTTCAGGACAAGACCCTGGTGAGGACGACAAGCACGCAGATGAGCAGAAATTCTTCGTTTGTGCAAACCCACAGTTTCATCAGCTGTCCGGGTGGCGGGTCTCAGACGATCCCGCAGGTGAAAAATCTGGATGTGGAGGTCCTGGGCTGGCATGGTTACATGTGGTCTGCAGTTGTAAGGCCAGTTGGACGTACGTCCAAATTCTCTAAAATGACGTTGGAGGTGGCTTATGGTAGAGAAATTAACATAAAATTATCTGGCAACAGCTCTGCTGGACATTCCTGCAGTCAGCATGCCAATTGCATGCTCCTTCAAAACTTGAGACATCTGTGGCATTGTGTTGTGTGATAAAACTGCACATTTTAGAGTGGCCTTTTATTGCCCCCAGCACAAGGTGCTCCTGTGTAATGATCATGCTGTTTAATCAACTTCTTGATATGCCACACCTGTCAGGTAGATGGAATATCTTGGCAAAGAAGAAATGCTCACTAACAGGGATGTAAACAAATTTGTGCACAACATTTTAGAGAAATAAGCTTTGTGTGCATATGGAACATTTCTGGTATATTTTATTTCAGTTCATGAAACATGGGACCAACACTTCACATGTTGCATTTATATTTTTGTTCAGTGTAGAATAGGCTTCTCTGACCCTGTGTACAGCTGGCTACCAGCCTGCTGAATCCTGTAGCTGCCTAGTGGAGCTTTTTTTTGTGAGCTAAGCATGTGTCGGGGCCACTGCCACTCAGATAGTGGCTATCTAACCTCCTCCAGGACCTCTGAGGCAGATAGTGTGCACTACAGGAGGGCATCCATGCACATCCTGTCCTCTCTCTGTCAGGGTTGGGAGTCCACTGTATGAGTCTGGCCAGGTGGACATGTTGACTCTGCTGTCACTGGAGAGGGGAGAAGAGATTAGTTGAGTGGATATGGATAAGCCTCTCACCTCCACTCCTGGTGCCCCAAGCCTCTCACCTCCACTTCTCCTGGTACCCCAAGCCTCTCAACTCCACTTCTCCTGGTACCCCAAGCCTCTCACCTCCACTCCTCCTGGTACCTCAAGCTTCTCAACTCCACTTCTCCTGGTACCCCAAGTAACTCAACTCCACTTCTCCTGGTACCCCAAGCCTCTCAACTCCACTTCTCCTGGTTCCCCAAGCCTCTCACCTCCACTCCTCCTGGTACCTCAAGCCTCTCAACTCCACTTCTCCTGGTACCCCAAGCCTCTCAATTCCACTCCTCCTGGTACCTCATGCCTCACAGCAGGAACTGTTGCTGGACTGGGATCACTGGTGTTGGACTGGTGTTGGATTGGATTCACTGGTGTTGGACTGGTGTTGGACTGGTTTCATAAGCTGGTTCTGCTAGTGTTGTGCTCGTTTGACTGTAGCATTGGACAGGTGTTGCTGGAGCCTGTTCCTCTGCTATAAACTCCTTGGCAGCTCCAGTCAGAACTGTCTGTCTGCCAACACCTGCCACTTGGGATGAATATGTCATATTTTCACATTATGCCATAATTACACAGTGACATATAGTAGATATTTTTCCCATTGCTAGAGAGACACATAATAATGTTATGTATCTTATATCAGCTGTCTCTATCAAATCACACAAGTGACCTACCATCAACGGAATTATTTGAATATTGTCGTCTCTGGAATTGAAGAAGTAAGGAAAGCGGTACATAATTTAGCATGTGGGCCGTCCTTGGATCTTTCACACGTATTGTGCTGATGTGATGCCTCTGGAAGGGAACAGAAATGCGCTTTTCTCAATGAGTTACTCTGTGGGAGAGACAGAACACAATAGAAACTCTTGTATTGAGCTGTCAGGCGACAATCCAATCCCAAGCCTGGTCCCTTCAAAGTAAATGAAGGTGTTAGATTAAATTTCGAACGCCATGTGTTACCCCACCACAGGATCATTAAATTGCAGTGTGGAGTCATTGTATTTTGATGACGCCGTGCACTGACTCAGTGAAATGTAATAACACTGTTGGAGAAGTAGATCTTTCAGCATGGAGGTGTGGTCCATATACGTGTTAGGGGAATAGATTGGGCACCAGGTTTTGTGTGTTTGTGTGTGTGTGTGTGTGTGTGTGTGTGTGTGTGTGTGTGTGTGTGTGTGTGTGTGTGTGTGTGTGTGTGTGTGTGTGTGTGTGTGTGTGTGTGTGTGTGTGTGTGTGTGTGTGTGTGTGTGCGTGCATTATATGCTAGTCAGTCAGACAAACATGGAAGCAGTAAGCCTCATCCTATAATTTGTCATACAGTACATTTAGCATCTATGCCAGCTCACAACTTATCAAGAGACACTCATAAACAATGACATTGCAAATAAGCCTATAAGGTAACCAAACAGATTAGCTCTCAGAATCCTACAGTAGATATTGCCCTCTGTGCGACCCCTGTGTGACCTCTTCCCCCCAAAAATGATACCGCTTGATTCTTGATTTTTTTTCTTCCTAATCACAGCAAAGTTCCTGTGGGAATTAAAGCCACCACCACTTCCCCTGCCAGCCACATGTTGTTTATGCTATAGCTACTGAACATACCATGCATGGCTCTGTTTTGAATGTACAGCCATTGTTGATGTGGTGATTAAGTTGATGTGTACTGTACACTCAGATGGATGGTGGGGTGGGGGTTTGGGGGTGTATAAGAATGGTTTTTCTTGCAGTAAAAAACTTGGGGTGAATTGTGATAAACATGATAATATCATGCTGTTTTGCATTTACAGTCATCACAAACTTGAATGTATTTTTCTTGAAGTTTAACTTGATTCTTCTGTCCTTTTCTCTAGGCTCCCACAATGTTTGAACTAAACATGACCACTGCCAAGCCAATGCACCTCATCATCACCACAGACTCAGAGCAGGTCATATACTCTGCGGCCAATGCTAACATGGATGTCAGCTTATACGTAAGTATAGCACCTCTTCTCATTTAAGTGTTTCCTTTTGCCACTTGTTTCCTTGGGGTTGTTTATCAGTTAGTGTAAGGGCATTACAGTATGTCAGTGTATGAAAAGTACACAAAAAGTTATATGCAAATTTATACTCCAGGAATTACAGTATATCCTAGCCGGGAGAAAAGCAGATGCTGACTTATATTAGACTTACACTTTAATGCCCAATCGCCTAGAGAAATAGAGAAGGACTCTCAATAGGTATTGCCTGATAGATAGCTGGCTGCATTGCCTGATAGCTGGCTAATGGGGGCTTGGCAAGGACTGGGAGTCTAGCCTGGCAGCTCTCCTGTTCCTGCCAGCTGAGCTGCTCCACTCTACTCTGCTCTGTTCAGCTCCAGTGTTTGGAGCCGGGGAGGGAGGGGAGGGTAGAGCCTCACTGCCAGGCCTCCCTACTTCCATAGTTAATCAGGGGAGAAATGCTTTTCTGCAGGCCCAGATGGGCCCTCCAAGCCAGATGTTTGACATAGAACCAGCCCCAGCTGTGCAAGCCCCTGGGGCAGTTTGGAGAAGCAATTACCCTTGTTTGTTTAGTTTGCCAGTCCCCAAGGACCTGTGTGTATTTCATATCTGGTACACATTATAAAAAGAAGCTTAAAGTGTGTTGGAGTAGGGAACAAGTTAATAGTCTCTGTCAGACACTGGGGATGTATAGTGTTATAGTGGAGACATTAACTTGAGTATTGTGTTGTTCAACCTATCTACTAGATTTACACACTTCAAGTGAGGTTTTAGAAAGAAAGGACTCCTTCAGAAGAGAGATGGTGTGTCTCAAAGGGTTTCGTCTTGTCAACCGAAATTTGGAAATGAAGCAGAAGGGACTGATAGGATGTTTTCTTTGGGAGTTTGACAGTAAATGATAGTGTTATTGATTTTGGATCCCTGCCTGGGACTCAAACCACCCCTTGTCTGTAGGCACCCATTCTCTTGAAACAGAACTCTTGCTTTTTATCACAATGAACACAAGTACCAAGCTGAGTTGAGAGTTCAGACCATGTCCACAGCCCAAGCATCCTCCTCTTGAGCTCTGCTCCTCACACAAAGTGTAAAATAAATAACATTATATTTTATCTATTTCGACCCTCTATCCTCTGTTTAAACTTCGCCATATTAAGGTGCTGTTAAAAATCAATAATCTTCCACAATAAATAGGATGATTCAATGTTTACAACACTGTCAGCAGTCTGTGATAGTAGGATAGCCTATCATGTCATGCAGAGAGGGGGAACATTTTACATGAAGAGGGGATGTTTGTGTGGGATGGGAGGATGGTGTGTAGTGGATCACCTGGGAGTGTTGCCATTTTAATGGAAAAAAACAGCATCTGGTGTCTGTCTGAGGAAGTGCGTCACGAGGATGACAGATCTGCTGGGTACATGCCCAGTGTTCTATCCAGCTGTGACCGGGACACGGAACAGTCACCACACACTCAGATGGGACCGAGTACATTTGCGTACATTCACAAAAGGCCACCGACCTGTGGGTTCATCGTCAAGGTTCAAGGTCTCGCATCCTCAGTTGCCCCTCCTCCCATCCTCACTGTTGTAGATCTTGTCGTTAGTTCTCCATCTAATATGGGGTGGTAATTTAGCTTCACACCAAGACATGATACACAGTGGGTGTTTCTCAAAATGCGAACTACCGCGCTCCGAGCACACAAATTGGAGCACGGGAGGCTCGGAGTATGAGTCCAAATCAAAGTATGCGAAACGGAGCACGGAGGGCACTTCTCGAATGCGTACTCCGTTTCTACATATTTTGAAGCATGCATCGATGCAAGCCATAATAACATTGACATAACAATGACATAACATTTCTTGAAATCAATGGCGGCCATTATTTGAGCTGAAGAGAGCGAAAATACACTCCGACTTCAGAATGAAATGTTGCCTATTCACATCTCATATGTTGTCTGACTACAATATTTTATCTTGATACATTAATAAATACATACTGTGTTAATTTTGAAATGTTTACCTGCCTTCGTACCGTAGATCGCAAGCCCATAATAAGTAAATAGGGCTAACTGGCTAGCTACTACTGTTAGTTATGAAGTAAAACGTTTGGTTTGTGTATATCTTGTTTCGTCTATTGTTGCAATTGTCCTGGCTGGAAGGAGGTTCAATGAATGGGGAGGTGAAGCGTGAGGTAATACAGTAAAGGGAGTGCGAGTGCTTCTCAAATGTTATGTTTTATGCATTCTCCACACTCTTGTCCTCACAAGAACATACTCAAGAGAATGTTGTCAGAGAATGCACTCGGAGCATGAGAGTGCGGAGCACGGTAGTATGCATATTGAGGAAGACTATGTTATGTAAGAGTTGATGACCCCTCTGGCGTAGTCCCCTGCACGTCCTCGTGCAGACAGTTCACGATGCGTCCTTGGAGCCAAGGGGACAGAGACAGACAGATAGGCGAATGGCCTTGACCTCGAACCTAATCTATTTTGGATGGGTGCCTGTTCTAAACAGCCCACCAGATAGCTCTCTCTGACAGTGACTTAAATCCCCCTGACTCCTCGGTGATAGCAACGGCACAGACACACAATGATGAGTGTCACGGCTACACACAATACAGAGTGTCTACACAGCATCTGAGCGATATGGTACCTAGCTGTCACGCCAGGGTTCTCCACGGGGTTAATGAGGCAGTACGAGAGGAGAAGAGGGGAGTAGAGAAGAAGAGGAGAGAAGTGAGGAGAATGAGAGGGGAGGATATAGGAGGAGAGAAGAGGAGTGGAGAAGAGGAGGAAGAGAGGAGAGAAGAGGAGAAGAGAGGAGATGCGAGGAGAGAAGTAGAGGAGAGAAGGATGCGTCTTTCTATTTCGATCCACATTAAACAAAATATACACGCATGAGAAGGACCAATCAATCACACAGGTTTACTTGGCTTTCAGCAGAGCGTTCTGGCTGGCTGTGTGGGGTCTGGCTGCAGCTGGCAGGCCTTAACACACACATACACACACACTGACCGCTAACATGGAGGTCCACAGAGAAAACAATCAGTGGTCTTCTTTCCAGCCCTTTAAGACCTCGACCACCAGGAAATATATGGACTTTATTCCTCAAACACCAAAATCATTGCCAACACAAGGGCTGCTGCTCTCTCCCCCTTCCCTAGCCTCTTCTTGGCAAAACACTGAGCACATACTGTACCTCCTGTGAGTTTGTGCAATGCAGCGTAGCTAATTGTTTGTTGTTGTTCTTATGCGATCCATTATCATGAAATTAATTGTAACAACACATCAGACCTATATAAGTCCCCCCAGTCCAGAACAATTTGTCCATCTGTGTGCTATATTAGCTGGAATGCAACGGGAATAGTGATGAGAACATTGATGGGGGAGAAAATGAAGCCATTGTTGAGACAGGATCCAAAGGGAAATGGATATCTGCTCCATCCATCTGCTCTGAATAATATATAAAGGGACTCTATTCTCAAGATCTTGGGCTAATGATCTAATTGTTTTTTTATATGCTTATAGAAGTATAATTGTCTTTAAACCAATATTTGATTAGCAAATGAGTACAGATTGGGCGCGACTCTTAGGTTACACCGAAATGGCACGTAACCGATACATTAGAACACCTACTTGAGTGCTTCATGTACATTCCATTATTCCCCTGGCCTGTTCGGGAAACAGGGGAATGTGTGCTGTAGTATGCATGCACTAGGCTGGATGTATATATTTATACCCGTATGGAGCCAGATTCCAGCCGACTCCACTGACGCACAGAGTTAAAAAGGTCCCCATTTCCCGGCCCCACTCAGGAAGCGAAGGAAAGACCTTGGCTCCAACGGGGTTGTGCAACCGGCCTTGTAGACACTTTAGCATAATAAACATTCCTTTTCAAATGGCCCTGCTCTGCTCAGAGAATAAAGAGAGAGAGAGCGAGGGAGAGAGAGAGAGAGCGAGAAAGAGAAAGAGAGATGGAGAGAGAGAGAGAAGGAGAGATCGAGAGAGAGAGAGCGAAAGAGAGAGGGAGGGAGGGAGAGAGAGAGAGATGAAGATACAGACAGACAGAAAGAGGGAGAGAGAGAGACAGAGGGCGAGAGAGAGAGAGAGAGGGAGGGAGAGGGAGGGGGGCATGCTTTAATGTGGCTGTTGTCAGACACATTGGGCAAACATGAGGTAGCAGCCTCTAAATAAGGCGCTGACTCACCTGATGCCACGGTAACAATGAGCAGACAAACAGAGCTGTCTGACCCTCCTAGAGGTAGAGTGGCTTAATGACTTAGGGTTGTACTGTATATTAACAATAATCCCTCCACGTACATAAAGGAAATTAAAAATAATGGAGTGGATCGTGTTAACAGACAGATTCAATCAAACTTGCCTTGTACATTTGTTTTGAACTACTGCCTAAGCACACACCTCTTCTTAAGAATCTACTTGTGAGGAGAGTTTACCTGAGAATAGTAGTTAATAAGTCGTTTGTAAATTTTTACATTAGCCTCTCAAATACTATTCTGTGATCTAGTTTGACCAGAGGACAAAGCGCTACTGTGAATCATTTTTGCAATACAGGTTCAATTGAATTGAACCCATAGTATCATAACTTGACATACAATAGATGGAGTGTCAAAGAGACCTGAAATGAAATGTCTAATGTATTTTCTTTTACTCACCAGGTGGCCAATGACTCCAATATGATGTTGATTGGTTCAAATGTCGACATCCAGAAAAAAGCCCTCCCCACAGACAACAAAGATCTAGTGAGATGGGCCACCGAGGAGTTTGGTGGGGTGACGTCTTTCACCACTGTCCAGAACCCAAGGAGCATCACTTCCACAGGGAGAGAGGGTAAGACACTGTCAGATACAATCAGATACATACAACGTACCTCAAGCTTACACAACTCCCACAAACTGTCCGTTTTTGCTGGGTTTGTTAATATAAACTGTGACCGAAGAATGGCAGATTATGTAACAAATCTGAATAATAAATATTAATGATTTTACAGGAACAAGACTCCTTCCAACTGGCTCCAACAACTGTACTCTTGAAAATGAATGGCATTCCCTCAAGCACTATCTGACGTTAGAATCAAACATACCTTCATCAATCAAGTCCTGCTCGAACCAGCCTCCCAACAGTCACACAGAGAAAGAACTATACATCGTTAACATCCCTGAGGATGTCAGCATTCGGTAAGACACCGAAGAGTCTCTTGGCTAAAAACATTAGCAACACTTTCCATGATAGTGGCCTTATACAGGTTATTGTAATGGTTGTTTGTGCTCTTGAACGGTAAAGCAACACTATTTTGTTGTTCCAGCAATGTCTCTGTGCACGTCATCAGTGAGAGGCAGATCAGTCTGTTCCTAAGGGGACCTCAGGGTACCATGTGGAGCATCCATGACCCACAGCACACCAGCTTCTGTGTAAGCACTGGATAACATCTACAGTTAATTCAATTGTAGTATCAATGCCTGAAAGTGAATCACCAATGACTCAGACATTTTACCTGCATTTGTCTGGTCTTCATTTCAGGCCCAGATCAGTATGCATTTTGCTCTATGACTGACAAAGGTGTCCTATATAAATTGGGAAAAACCATACAGTACTCTCTATTATATTATAATAATAATATAATAATAATATTAAGTCTCTCTCTCTCTCTCTCTCTCTCTCTCTCTCTCTCTCTCTCTCTCTCTCTCTCTCTCTCTCTCTCAGTCTAACAACGTGATCATGCTTGCGGTCTCCAGCATGATGCATAAGATCCCTCCCACGGTCGCTATCACCACAGACAGTGCCGTTGCTGTACAAAAGAAGGCCTTTGAACATTTCAAAGCCAGCACCATCACCAGCTATTCTGAGATCCGAACCGCGGGCAACATGGTCACACTGGTCCTGGGGAATAAGGACCACACTCCAGGTAAGATACAGTTACAGTCACAGTGAGCATAGTAAATATTAGCCGCTAGCAAGGGTAGCATGACTATGGAGTTGTGTTAAGACACAGTTCCTGTCAATTGTCTGTACATTTGACAATTGTTCTGATTAGTTAATGAATGTATGTAAGTAAATGCAAATTCCATACACAGAGTGACCAATTCTACAATCATAAATGATCATACTGTTGGTGTATATACTGCAATAAAAATATGCTTTAGCAAGCTTTCTCAGTAATTGGTAGCTAACACTATGCCACTGTTGCCTGCTGGCTCCTATCTTAGCCAACATTATTATTATTATTATTTATGATTTTATTAACAAATATATGGTACACCTATCCTGTAGTATCATGTATACATGCATTCTTACTGACAGGTGAACGTTGTGTCTTGCTGTCTCAGTCACAGAGGCTGCACCAACCGAGTCCACCCCATCGCCCCCTAGCCCCCCTCAGATGCCTCTGATCATGCAGCTGTACACCTCTCCAGACTACCGCTCCCCTCTGGACCCCAACGTCAAGGTGCAGAGTGACAAGAGGATCTACGCAGAGGTGAGAGCCCTTTGAGTTATTTCACTCTGACACCTTCCTGCTCTTTTTAATCCTCTCCCAGTTCCTCTGCCGTGCCCAATTTCTCCCTCTAAGCCCTGCACACCTTCACATCTGCATGACTCCTAACACACAAAGCAAAAGTCTCTGCAATAGAATGGCAATCTACAGGAATTAAAGTTTGGGGATGTAGCTACATCCAGGAGAGGACTTTAAAAAATATATATGTTGATAGTATCGTCAAATGTATATACAGTATAACACCATATACACTGCTCAAAAAAATAAAGGGAACACTAAAATAACACATCCTAGATGTGAATGAATGAAATAATCTTATTAAATACTTTTTTCTTTACATAGTTGAATGTGCTGACAACAAAATCACACAAAAATGATCAATGGAAATCAAATTTATCAACCCATGGAGGTCTGGATTTGGAGTCACCCTCAAAATTAAAGTGGAAAACCACACTACAGGCTGATCCAACTTTGATGTAATGTCCTTAAAACAAGTCAAAATGAGGCTCAGTAGTGTGTGTGGCCTCCACGTGCCTGTATGACCTCCCTACAACGCCTGGGCATGCTCCTGATGAGGTGGCGGATGGTCTCCTGAGGGATCTCCTCCCAGACCTGGACTAAAGCATCCGCCAACTCCTGGACAGTCTGTGGTGCAACGTGACGTTGGTGGATGGAGCGAGACATGATGTCCCAGATGTGCTCAATTGGATTCAGGTCTGGGGAACGGGCGGGCCAGTCCATAGCATCAATGCCTTCCTCTTGCAGGAACTGCTGACACACTCCAGCCACATGAGGTCTAGCATTGTCTTGCATTAGGAGGAACCCAGGGCCAACCGCACCAGCATATGGTCTCACAAGGGGTCTGAGGATCTCATCTCGGTACCTAATGGCAGTCAGGCTACCTCTGGCGAGCACATGGAGGGCTGTGCGGCCCCCCAAAGAAATGCCACCCCACACCATGACTGACCCACCGCCAAACCGGTCTTGCTGGAGGATGTTGCAGGCAGCAGAACGTTCTCCACGGCGTCTCCAGACTCTGTCACGTCTGTCATGTGCTCAGTGTGAACATAATAATAATAATAATAATAATAATAATATGCCATTTAGCAGACGCTTTTATCCAAAGCGACTTACAGTCATGCTTACTTACAGTCATGCTTTCATCTGTGAAGAGCACAGGGCGCCAGGGGCGAATTTGCCAATCTTGGTGTTCTCTGGCAAATGCCAAACGTCCTGCACGGTGTTGGGCTGTAAGCACAACCCCCACCTGTGGACGTCGGGCCCTCATACCACCCTCATGGAGTCTGTTTCTGACTGTTTGAGCAGACACATGCACATTTGTGGCCTGCTGGAGGTCATTTTGCAGGGCTCTGGCAGTGCTCTTCCTGCTCCTCCTTGCACAAAGGCGGAGGTAGCAGTCCTGCTGCTGGGTTGTTGCCCTCCTAAGGCCTCCTCCACGTCTCCTGATGTACTGGCCTGTCGCCTGGTAGCGCCTCCATGCTCTGGACACTACGCTGACAGACACAGCAAACCTTCTTGCCACAGCTCGCATTGATGTGCCATCCTGGATGAGCTGCACTACCTGAGCCACTTGTGTGGGTTGTAGACTCCGTCTCATGCTACCACTAGAGTGAAAGCACCGCCAGCATTCAAAAGAGACCAAAACATCATCCAGAAAGCATAGGAACTGAGAAGTGGTCTGTGGTCACCACCTGCAAAACCAGTCCTTTATTGGGGGTGTCTTGCTAATTGCCTATAATTTCCACCTGTTGTCTATTCCATTTGCACAACAGCATGTGAAATGTATTGTCAATCAGTGTTGCTTCCTAAGTGGACAGTTTGATTTCACAGAAGTGTGATTGACTTGGAGTTACATTGTGTTGTATAAGTGTTCCCTTAATTTTTTTGAGCAGTGTATGATATAGAGGGACCATACAATGTAGTATGCAGTATGTACATGGGAGCAAATGCATCCCCCAACATCTCCCACCAGGCCTGCTCTAGGCTACAAAACAACACCCATACTGCAGTGTATGCAAACATTTCCAGCACTACAATCATTCCTATGCCCTCTCATCCCTCTCCTCTCCTACAGATCTCAGGGAGGATGCTGGGGGAGATTGTGCTGACCATCAAGGTGATCAACTGCTCGGTGCGCTCCAAGGGCTCATGCCCGGTGGTCAGGGACATGCCCTTCAGGCCAGAGGCGTGCTCCTCCACCATGTGCCCCAACAGTACCAGGGTTAGCTTCTCCCTAGAGCTGCTCCAAGACCTGGCGTCCACTAGCTGGGACCTGGAGTGCTCCGTCAAACTCTGCTTCAGTGAGGTATGTAGGTGTGTGTTGGGGGGAGGAGGTGTGTGTGTAGGTGTATGTGTGCATGTAGGTGTGTGCGTGTTGGGGGGTATTGCTTTTTTTTACTTCTGTGAGAAAATGTGTTGCCTTTTCTTCTTTTTGTATGCTTTCTTTCATTCTTGAGCATTTTTCATAGAGCTTTGAAAACATTTTTCTCTGACAATTTGATTTCAACATCATAACAGCAACTATGGTTCCAGAAAGTGTTCATTTAGAGCCAAACTGAATATGAAATATCATATACAGAGAAGATTCTTCAAGGGATAGTGTGTGCCAGCTGTTGTTCACTAAACATTGTTAATTCTAAGCTGTAGCTTAGTCAACAAGCCAAATCTTCAGTGAACTTTCCCTTTCACCTTAAAGCATTTTTGATGTTTTGAGTTGACTTTAGTAGGTTTTAGTATCTTTGCCAACAAAGCACACTTAAGGATGTGTCTCACTCTCTTGGTATTCTCTTGTAGAAATGTGGAGATGGAGGAAGAGTGAAGAGGAACTTGGAGGTCACCCAGACATACATCCCACCACCAAGTGAGTTCAATTAACTCCAAATCCTTCCAGCTCTGTTGTAATAGTGTAGTTTGTCCTTCTGGCAACTCAACCCTTACTTTTTATCTTATCAGCTTTGGTATCAGGCAACATTTACAGTACACATGATAACCCCAATGTTGGCCCTTAAATGACAGAATTCATAAATTCAAATTTAGTGTATTTTTAAACATGACTGTTCTCTGTCGTTGATATGACCCCCAACTTCCCCTATGCTATGCTGTGCCATCGTCTTTCCTTTGGAAAACCACAAGATAGCCAAATGAAATCAGCACTAACACTGCTGTCAAATGCAACAATAGGAGAGCCACTGCATTGTCCTCCTCAACCCTCAGCAATTCCCCTCTCAGAACATTCCATCATCCATCTCATTCCAGCCACAGCAGCTGCTGGCAGTCTGTCCGTCTGTCTCGGTCGTCCCGTCTTCCATCGAGCCCACTTTGACATTGGGCCCGTTGTCATGGCGATGATGAATTCAGGATATACGGAAAGAGAGGGGTCGTAGAGGGGATGCGAGGTGGGGTGAGGCCTCCTCCTTAGGAAGGCCTGCAGCCTGACCTTGTGGCCACAATCAGCCAGTAATGACCCTCGGGGGGATCCATTGTGTCCGAGGTCTGGCCGCTCGGCTGTACGTCCCGAAAAATAACTGGAGCTATTGTCAGAAACCCCGAAAACAAAGAATGGAAGGTGTCACTCTTCAAAGGGGAGGACAATCTCTGGGCAGATGAGTCAGGAACAAACCTTACATTCCTCAACCGTCTGCAAGCCCAGAACGGAAGCCCATTATTTTGGGGTGAAAAAGAAAAGAGGACAAACCTCAGGTTCATGTTTTGGCTTGGCACATAGCTCCCCAGCTTTCGCCAAAAATTACTTTTTTCCTGCAATTTACTCACGCAGGAGAAGAAGAGGATACATGTTGGAGCATCAGCGGCTTGATGATGATGGGGTTGGAGGCGACACAGCCCTCGCTGCTCATTTTTGTTTTTGCATCCTGTTTTATTGGTCAGCCCATTCTGGTTCTTATGTAATGGAAAGGTGATGTGAGTGTGTGGAGGGACTCAGGGACTTGTGATGGAGAATGGCTGAATGGGAATCAGTGGCAAGGGAACAACGTTTCCTCCCATTAAACTGCATTAAACCTCATTGACCTAAGCGCTCCTTTTTATCCACGCCTGCCAAGTGACTACACAGTGCACACACCAAACAACTGGAGCCAGCCAACTCTCTGGGCTCTCAGTTCTGCTTCAGAATTCTGGCCAGAGTGTTGGAATTTGGCTTTTCTGACACTTGAGGCAGGCTGACTGCTGCTGTTGTTGCTGGGGGTCCCGCCTGCTTTCATTGGCCAGGATGTGGCTCCCCCTCGGTTGTCCTTCCTGTTTGGTAGCTGTCCCCCAGAGGGCTCTTTGGAGTAGTAGTGTCGTAGTACAGGCCTGCTGCTGTCCGTCCTCTCCACCTCCTCCCCACCTACAACAAGGCTTCTGCTTCCTGTCTCTGTTTGTTCAGCTTTGCTGTCCAACCCAAACACACAAATAACATGTCGGCCCATTCTGGAAAACAAATAAAAGAAAGACTGTAAAATAGGTTTCTGTTTAGACATGAATTGGGACAGGGCCTTTGAGTCTGTAATGTTAGTACAGTAGTAGATCATTAATTATCCTCCTATAAAGATAACTTTAATCACTTACAATCTAATTCTTTAGACTTTATTGAAGGATGTAGCCTCCACATTAGATTAATTCCAATGGCACACAAAGGTTTCAATATATTGTGACAGTAGAGCAGTGATGATTAAGGGATTTTAATAGGGTGAGGGGATGAATGATCTTTAATATTATTTAAAGAACATAGACTATTGCATGGACACCATAAATAACAAAATTAACCAGATGCACATGGCTTGCAGGATGGTGGCAAGAGGTGCAGCCAAACAAACAGAATGTCGTCCCTCACCCTTCCTGCATCCTGTCTTTCCTGTCCTTCAGGAAAAGAGAGAGCGGTCTGTAGCCTAGCGTAGCGCTGAGCCTAGCATGTAGCACAGTGGCACAGGATGCAGGAAGCTTAAGGTGGCAGGTGAGAGAAACTGCACAGGGTAAGACACAGGATGGCTTCTGCCCAGGGGACTGATGATTAGCTTCCTCCCAAATTCTCAGGATCCATGTTGGAAATTTTCACTAGTAAGGAAGCAGAAGCAGGGAAACGTGTGTGTGCCTTGGTGTGTGTGCATTTGTGCACATATGCTCACATGCTAGGATGCACACATGTTTGTGTGTGTGTGTTAGTGTCAGAGGCCTGTGTCAGTGCAGCACATGGCCAGGGCCTGCTTTCTGACAGTTGATTTTAGAGTTCTGTCGAGAGAGAGCAATTCTGCCTCAGCCATTGGCTCCAGAGTTGTTTTGTTTGCATCTATGTCTGTAATTGCTGGAACGGCTTGTGCGGGACCATGACACTCACAGGCTGCCCAGGGAGCACTGCCAGGGCCAAGCTTTGGGACTGCAAACTTAACTTCACATCGCATGATGAGAAAGCCAGAACTCACGAGTACACAACAGCGATAAGCATTTGCTTCCACAAACAGATTTGGCCTCAATTGTGCAATGTGCTTGAGACAAAAAAAAAAATGTATGAGCTTGTAATGTTAACTGGTTGTATGCCTATGAAGTGTGCTGAAAATGAGGAAATCATAGGAGGAATAATCTCTGTGATTCCGCTGACATCCAACGATACTACTAAATACCCCAATGTGAGACATGCATTAATGTGTTTATTCTGTGTGTTCTAGCTGTGTGTATTGACTTTGGTCTGTCAGCCGTGCTGGGCATCGCTTTCGGAGGCTTCCTGATCGGAGTTCTGCTTATTGGAGCTCTGTGGTTCATCAAGATCCGCACAGGTGAGTCGGAGTCCCACAATCTCTTTTGTGGTGTTATACTGACATACTACAAAAGTGTTTTTAGAGGTATTTTTCTCTTGATTTGAGTTCTCTCTTAATTTTACCTTGACTTCATTTTAAAACTGTTTTATTCTGTTTTATGGGATCTAGGATACCCCACCGGACTGGATGTAGGGTCGACTGCAGTAAACCTCTCAGGTAAGATGCTAGTCACTGTTTCTGGTTGATGCCAGTTACACTTAAACATAAAGAGCTATATTTTCCATGAAGAGGGAATGGTAATGTAGGCAACGCTTATAGATCAGGGAAACCCGTCCTTTTCTGATCTCTCTCATGATCTCTCTCCCTCAGTCATTCATGCAATCAATCAACCAACCAGTAAATTAGTCGTTATTAGAGGCAGAGGCAACTGGTTTGCACCCCAGAGGCAACTGTTTTGCAAGCAGAAATTTGGTTTGCCATAAATCTAAAATATGTTTCTTCTCTCCCCAGGATGTCCTTGCTCTCTGACCAGCAAACGGCAACCCGTCTCTACAAACCCCTCCCCCTCTGAGAACAGTAGTGCCAATGCCAGCATTGGCAGCACTCAGAGCACGCCAACCAGCAGCATGGCATGAGATCATCAGCACCACTGTCTCCCCTTTCTGTCACACGAGGGGCCTTGTGCTATTTGTTTGCTCTTTCACCATGCTTAAGAAAGCATAACCACCCTCTCTTTAGTCACACCACAAACACGCACCCTCTCTCACCCGTGACCCCACCTGAAAGTGGTGAGGTCAGGGGCGGGGAGGGGTGGGGGGAGCAGGTGGCAGCTGTAGTCTAGTCCAGGCTCCTACCATTCACCTCACCAGCCTCCCAGCAATAGTTCCAGACGGGAAGTCAGCGAGGGTGAAAAAAAAGGCCCCGGCTCCCAGCAACAGGAAAAACAAAGCATATCCCCCAAGAACTAACAGGAAATTCACTGCATTCTTCTCAATGAATTGTGCCTCTCTGATGGCGGCACAATAAGAGTCAGTCAGGGGGGAAAAGAGACAAAAGATTGACTTTTAAAAACATTATTAGAGAAACTGTTTTGTCTCTCGACATCCACAGTTGTTGTGATTGGAAATGTCAAGGCCCCTTTTTGTAGACAATTTAGAGATAGATTCTGGACTGACATCTGTTCTATCATGTTGACTGTAGTTTGAATTAAAATTGTGTTACTGTATATGGGTGGCTGGAAGACACCATGTCAGATTTGAAGATTTCAGACAGATCAACAAAGAGATCAACAAAGCTAAAATATCCAGTGTTATCCTCCAATGCCAAGGGGTATCTGTCTTTATATGAGTTAGGAAAGATTGGGAAAAGGCTACCTCTTAATTTATGTACAGCGCATTTGGAAAGTATTCAGACCTCTTCCCTTTTTCCACATTTTGTTTTACGTTACAGCCTTATTCTAAAATTGATTAAATAAAACAATTTCCTCATCAATGCAAAAAAACAGATTTTTAGAAATGTTGGCAAATGTATTAAAAATAAAAAACTGAAATAACTTATTTACATAAGTATTCAGACCCTTTGCTATGAGACTTGAAATTGAGCTCAGGTGCATCCTGTTTCCATTGATCATCCTTGAGATGTTTCTACAGCTTGAATGGAGTCCACCTGTGATAAATTAAATTGATTGGACATGATTTGGAAAGGCACACACCTGTCTATATAAGGTCCCACAGATGACAGTGCATGTCAGAGCAAAAACAAAGACATGAGGTCGAAGGAATTGTCCGTAGAGCTCCGAGACAGGATTGTGTCGAGGCACAGATCTGGGGAAGGGTACCAAAACATTTCGCCAGCATTGATGGTCCCCAGGAACACAGTGGCCTCCATCATTCTTAAATGGAAGAAGTTTGGAACCACTAAGACTCTTCCTAGAGCTGGCCACCCGGCCAAACTGAGCAATCGGGAGAGAAGGGCCTTGGTCAGGGAAGTGACCAAGAACCTGATGGTCACTCTGACGTGAGCTCTAGAATTCCTCTGTGGAGATGGGAGAACCTTCCAGAAGGACAACCATCTTTGCAGCACTCCACCAATCAGGCCTTTATGGTAGAATGGCCAGACGGAAGCCACTCCTCAGTAAAAGGCACATGACAGCCCGCTTGGAGTTTGCCAAAAGGCACCCAAAGACTCTCAGACCATGAGAAACGAGATTCTCTGGTCTGATGAAACCAAGATTTAATTATTTGGCCTGAATGCCAAGCGTCACGTCTGGAGGAAACCTGGCACCATCCCTATGGTGAATCATGGTGGTAGCAGCATCATGCTGTCTTTAAGCGGCAGGGACTGGGAGACTAGTCAGGATCAAGGCAAAGATGAACGGAGCAAACTACAGAGAGATCCTTGATGAAAACCTGCTCCAGAGTGCTCAGGGCCTCAGACTGGGGTGAAGGTGAGTGGCCCAGCCAGAGCCCAGACTTGAACCCGATCTAACATCTCTGGAGAGACCTGAAAATAGCTGTGCAGCAACGCTCCCCATCCAACCTGACAGAGCTTGAGAGGATCTGCAGAGAAGAATGGGAGAAACCCCCCAAATACAGGTGTGCCAAGCTTGTAGCGTCATACCCAAGAAGACTAGAGTCTGTAATTGCTGCCAAAGGTGTTTCAACAAAGTACTGAGTAAAGGGTCTGAATACTTATGTAAATGTGATATTTCCGTTTTTGGATTTTAGTAAATTAGCAAAAATGTCTAAAAACCTGTTTTTGCTTTGTCATTATGGGGTATTGCAGATTGATGAGGGGGAAAAAAATATTTAATCAATTTTAAAATAAGGCTGTAACCTAATAAAATGTGGAAAAAAGTAAAGGGGTCTGAATACTTTCCGAAGGCACTATAGATGTAAGATTGTTATGCATAAGCATGAGAATGGGTTCTTCTGGAGCTTATTTTTTTTGTATCTCTCTCTTTCATTTCGTTTCACTTGATTTACATCATATTGTTGTGCTCCGAGTCATCTGTTACATACAAGTAGAATTAATAACAAAATGTCCTTGCAAATCAATGTTACTTTGTTGCCTTTGCGAATGAATTGTTTTTATAGTCCTTTAAAAAATATATAATATTTATCTGAAATTGTATTATGTCTAGAGAGAGACACATTTTACTTTTCTAAATGCAAACCAAACTCAACACCAAAGCAAAAAATTAAAAAAGATTGAAAATGAAGATTGAACATCTAAATGATTGAACTCAGGAATAACTATATTTGGCATTATTGTAATTTAGGGTGAAATGATTTATGTCCAGTGCCAAGAAAAATGGAAATCAGATGTGATAGACGGTTGAACCGTAAGTGTAAACCCATTCTGTGTGTAAATGTACAAATGTAAATGTATTTTTATTGTATTGCCTATTTTTTACCTCTTTGAAAATGCTCTCACAATTCAAAGAAAAGCCTTGTGATTATGACCTGCTGGGTATAAAGACATTCCCTTCAAACATTCCATTCAGCTAGGTCTCTTAAAGAAACATTAATACCGTACCAAAAGTATACAGTTTGTATAAGAAATGTAATGTTTTTATTGTAATGATTGTACTAGTCATTGTTCATTACACATGCCAATGTACAGAGACAAAGAGTCAACTGTATATTTGTTGAGTAATTCATAATTAATGAGTAATTAATTTGTTTTGATACTGTCACCAAAAGCAGCAATCTTAAAACCAAGTGAGCTTCGTCAACCAAACACTGTTTTGAATGGACCAATGTTTTTTTTTCTCACCGTAATAATTTTGTAGCTAACTAATAATGCAGTGTGTGTGTGTTTCTATGTGTATGTGTGAGTGAGTGCATGCATGCAAGTGTGCATGCTCTAACTTATTCCGTTCAACTTTTCCTCTCACCCTAAGCCCCCCACGCCGTCCAATAACAAAATACATCTTCTCTGATTCGAGATACTGGCCGCGTCCGAATACCCATACTAGCGTACTACATACTTAAACTGGATACTTTGTACTCATTGTTGCATACTATTTAGCACGTACCGTTTAGTAAAAAGTTGACCGAATGCCGCAAAAAGTATGCCGCAACGCAGTAGCGGCTCCTGACTGGCTGAATAGGTGAGGCGGGGCCGAGTACGGGTGAATTTTTCCAAATCGCATTAACCAGCCTAATAATAGCTAATTTCCAATTCTATTAATTTCTCTGGATAGAATAGGAATGGAGTTATAGGCCTACTCAGGCTGGTTATAGGCAGACTATCACATTCTACCTATACCGGCATAGCCCATATAGCCCATCTATCCTATTTATAAAGGTATGAAGACAGAAACAGATCATTTGGTTCCATTTCAACATATCTATTGGTGAACCCAAAGTGCTGTAACATATATACATTAAATCAAATAGCCAAGTACACACCCCAAAAGTTTTCAAATGTACAAATCAAAAGGCTATTGCGCAGAAAGATGTGGACAGTCGGGTGCATCGCAAATTCAGAACCTCTGGACAACGACATAATAAACTAAAGCACTGATCATTGGGAGCAAGATCAGAATGACTGCTAAGACTTGATCCATGAATTAAATAATGAAATAGGTAGCCTACAAAACTAAAACAACCCATATGTTCAAATCAAAAGTCCTGATTAACATGACCTTAATAACACAGCCACATCCCAAGTCCCCGGTGCCGACATGTTCAGAAATCAAAATATGTTTTGTGTTTAGTTTAAAGGCCAAGAGAACAGAAATCCACTTTAAAAAATTATGTTTTCAAAGATGTAGCTGACGATGCAATACTTGTGATCATTTTAAGGAGAACAAAAACAACTTAGCCTACATTTATAGCCAAAGTCACCTAGTTTTGTTGTTTGGCTACTTGAAGAGAACTAGGGCCTATCACTTGCAGCCAACCTCTTCCAATGCATTGTGGAAAAGTGTGCATCGAATTCTACTAGATGAAGAGCCAAAATGAGTATAACATCCTGGTATTTAAAGTATACTAGATTTTCGAATAAAACATATAAATAAAACATTCTTTTTTTCGCATACTCAAACAGCCTACTATTTAGGACGCATGTATGGATATTCGGACACGGCCACTGGGTACACAATCACCCTCTGTTTGCCTTTTGGTGTGATGGGCTGATGGATTCCATTTGTAACACTGGACCAGGTTCCAGCAGCAGTCTAAATTGTGTTGGGGGTACAGAAGCTAACCTCATCCACCACCAATATTCAGCACCCAACCTGATGCACTGAAGCTATTGTGAGCCAAAACTTTTAACCCACAATAATCAGCGTATGAGGGGTGCACTGGCGTCCCACTGAGCTGAACCTCCACACAGGCAAGCAACAATGAATGAATGGAGTATTGCAGTATCAGACAGTCTATGAGAGCTAGGCTCTCTGAGAGTACTGACAGAACACAGGATAAATCAGATGGGCAGTCAGTTAATCCAGTCGTTAACCCAGCAGATTCCGGCCCAACCTCTGGCTCTGACAAGGGCTTCCTCTGCTCATAGATACATACGAGCCAAGCAATCCTCAACACATGGCACATTTCCCTTTCTCACAATGTTAGACACTCGCAAGGCGAGGCAAGGCGAGTATGTGCATGTATTACGAGAGAGTGTGTGTGCTTGTGTGTGTGTGTGTGTGTGTGTGTGTGTGTGTGTGTGTGTGTGTGTGTGTGTGTGTGTGAAAGTGAGTGTTTGTCTTTCGGGAGGTGTCTTTGTTTAAATCCAGAAAGGAGAGGGACTTAGGAAGTGGTTATGAGCTCTTTGTTATTGAGTG